GCCCTGAAGAAGCATCGATCAGCTGGAATGTTGCAGCATCTCCAGGGTCTTGTGATTTACATTCAGATGCTTGGCAACTGATTCATATTTATGACGGTCACAGTGTCCCAGGGTCATGTGAAGTGACCAAAACCTGCTGCAAAAACCCAGCAGATGGGGGAATAAAAACCAAACACCCCCCCACCCCACCCCTGCTGCCAATCCTCAACAGAAATGCTCACAACAATGAAAACCTCGGACAGGAGGAAGAGCGCCGCCGGGCGGGCAGGCAGGTATCTTGTTGGCTGTGGCTTGGGGGGCACTTTTTTCAGTGCCATTGTAACTTCTAAGAGTCACTAAGTGAACTGTTGTAAGTCGAGGACTACCTGTACTTTATCACTTTTTTCTTTTTTTTTTTGTCATCAAGTTTTTGACACCTTGCTAGGTGGTACTCGGATGTTGCAATATCCTAAAAGTGGTACAATGGGTGAAAAGGTTGAAAAGCCCTGCACTAAGCCACCATGAGCCTCCCTATATGTCAGAATTTTTGATGCCGTAGAAGAGCCATGAGGAAATTTTCTCAATACTATTTTTCCCCCCTCCCTCTCTGATGCCCGACTGTGTTTATGCATTTTTCCTTAAAAAGAAATGTTCAGCATGATGCATTTGATGTTTTCAGAGCTCCTGTATACTGACAGGAGATAGACTGTTGGCCAATATCTCCAACAGATCGAATACTTTTTGGGGAAAAAAATAGGAATGTTCAGAATAGCCAGCTTCCTACTCTGACTAAGTACCGTGTCTCTGAAAACCACAGTTGGTTTTTGAGAAAGCAGCATGAAATTCTGAGCAAATGGGGGAATCCTTCTGTAATTGCACCATAGTGTTTACAGGTATTTATTAGGATCATTATAGCCTGAATTAGAAAAAAATGCTCAGCTGAATTCATTTTGCATGGAAAGCCCGGGCTTGTTTTCAGATCACCGCCTCGATTTTTATTTGTAGCAGTTGATTTCTTACACACTGCTGTGCTCTGTGTGTGTTTGTGTCTATCGAAAAGGTACCTACAGTTTCTGAAGTGCTTAAAAGCCTAGCACGTTGATTGAATAGCAGGGTTTTTAAACAGATGCCAGAGAAAAAACATAGAGAAAAACTTCCAGTTACCTTTTGCCTAAATTGGATATTATTCACCATCCTCTCTTTCTGCCTCTGTTACTTTTTTCTTTTTTTTAAAAAAATTAGGTATAATACAGATTGTCCTCGACTTACGATTTACTTTTGTCCATTATGGTCATAGGTTGTGACTGTCGTAAAGTGCGGGTCACCCACATGACCCACCTTTTTGCAGAAGTCATTAATTGCCATAAAATGTTGATAGAACATGTTAAATTCTAAAGAAAGGAGTTTTGGAAGTGTTACCTTGAGACTAACCCTCTGTTGATACAGTCTTAAAGATCATGAGAAGTGATAATACGCACACAAGTGGGGCCACACTTAGAATACTACATACAGTTCTGGTCACCATGATGCAAGAAAGATGCCGAGACTCTAGAAAGAGTGCAGAGAAGAGCAACGAAGATGATAAAGGGCCTGGGGGGCTAAAACATGTGAAGAACAGTTGCAGGAATTGGGTACGTCTAGTCTATTGAAGAGAAGGTTGAGAGGGGATGTGATAACTGTCTTCTAGTACTTGAGGGGTTGTCACAGAGAAGGGGGGGAGATTGATTTATTCTCCAAAGCTCCAGAGGGCAGGACAAGGAATAATAAGTGGAAGCTTGTTATAAAGAGATCCAATCTAAAACTCAGGAGGAATTTTCTAACAGTGAGAACAATTAATCAGTGGAATAGCTTGCCTCTTAATAGAATAGAATAGAATAGAATAGAATAGAATAGAATAGAAATAGAAATAGAAATAGAAATAGAAATAGAAATAGAAATAGAAATAATAGAGCTGAAAGGGACCTTGGAAGTCTTCTAGTCCAGCCCCCTGCTCAAGCAGGAGGACCTATACCAGTGGTGGCGAACCTATGGCACGTGTTCCAGAGGTGGCACTCAGAGCCCTCTCTATGGGCATGTGCGCCATGTCCCGGAGATGGCAACCGTCCCTCTTCAACCAGCCGCCCGCCAATTCGCAGAGGTCCCACATAGCCGGATGCATCCCAGCACCCATGCACATGCTGGCCTCTATGTGCAGGGAATGATGGTGTCAGGCAGCAGCCGCCCCGGCCCCTGCCTCACCTTGCCCTGTGACAATGGCACCCCCGCGCTGCCTCACCTTACCCTGCAGGATGAGCCTCCTGCCCACCGGCCCACCTACCAGAGACCCCCTGGATCTCCCCCAACCCTGCCCGGCCCCCACAGGTGTCCCTCCCCACAAGCAACATCGAGGTGATCACGCCCACCTTGGCCACACCCACCCAATCTGCCATGACCACCACAGCCACGCCTACCCAATGGTCCACGCCCACCTGGTACCCGGCGATAAATAAGTGGGTTTTGGGTTGCAGTTTGGGCACTCGGTCTCTAAAAGGTTCGCCATCACTGACCTATACTATCACAAACAAGTGACTGTCTAGCCCAGGTGTAGGCAACCTTGGCTCTTTTATGACTCGTGGACTTCAACTCCCAGAATTCCTGAGCCAGCATGGCTCAGCTTGGAAACCTCTCCCTTTCCCCTCAGCATGGCTGGCTCAGGAATTCTGGGAGTTGAAGTCCACGAGTCATAAAAGAGCCAAGGTTGCCTACACTTGGTCTAGCCTCTTCTTAAAGATCTCCAGTGATGGAGCATCCACGATTTCTGGAGGCAAGCTTCTCTCTTTGATCAGTTTCCAACCACTGTTGGATTCTGGGTGCTCCATCACTGAAGGTTTTTGAAAATAGAACTGGACAACCATTTGATCGGGATGTTATACGGTCTCCTGCCTTGAGCAGGGGATTGGACTAGAAGACCTCTGAGGTCCCTTCCAGCCTTATGATGTTACGTTACGTATGTTCTATTCATACTAGAAAATGTGTTCATGTTATGCTTTTTTTTCTCTTATAAACTTTGACGCTTTTTGATAGCGAACGTATCTAATTCTTTTACATTTAAGCCAAAATGTCTGAAGATGCTCAAAGTCAAATCCCAAATTCTAATCTCTCCTTGATAAAAGAATTGCAGATCCAGAGATACTTTAAAAATGATCGGTTATCATTGAGATTTGCTGCTGGAAACAGCTCAGCACCGAAAAACGTTTTCTAATAAGCACATATTCCAACAAGATTTTTTACTTTTTACTTATTATCTCGGCCAAGTAAAGGTCTCGCATATAGCAATGAGCATTTTCTGATTTTCTCTTTGTGGCTGGAATTTTCCTTTGCAGGCCGCTCTTACTCTGCAAGGAAATCTAATTTTCATCTCTGAGTCTCATGTAGCATTTGGCTTTTTCGGGAAGCAAACCTTGGCATTTGAAAAAGTGGAGCAATCTGTCTCTTCCACACTGTCAGAAGTTCCCAGGAGCCTTTATGGAGCTGTCTGCATATGTTCAGAATCGAATTAGAGTCTCCAGCTCATCAACGTGGCTTCAAAATTATTAGCTTTGGAATGATAATGTACTTGACGTTTCGCGTACTTGTTTTCTGGTTTCTGAAACGTTCAATTCCCATTGAGCTGATATTCAAATATTGACAGAAATAATAGTTTAGGGGCTTGGAATCCGTTCCCATTTAGCTTTTCGTTTTCTCCACGTGGGATGAAATGGTCCCAAATATCATTTACGCATAACATTTGCGGGGGGAAAAGCAATTTCAGTGTCGCCGAGGTAATCTTCTTAAAACCTGCCATTTCTAAAGCCAGTTTTAATTTTGAATCCCATGACCTGTTAAATTCAAGGAGATCGGACTGCCAGGCTGCATCTGTCCTTTGCAAGAGCTGGTTCGTAATATGTCTGTACAGTATTGGTAAACAAATTGTCACTCATTAGATCATACCGAACTACCAAAATTTCCAGCTTGGCCATACTTGACCTAGAACTAGAATAGCTTCCTTCCTTCCTTCCTTCCTTCCTTCCTTCCTTCCTTCCTTCCTTCCTTCCTTCCTTCCTTCCTTCCTTCCTTCCTTCCTTCCCTCCCTCCCTCCCTCCCTCCCTCCCTCCTGGTGCAGTGGTTAGAATGCAGTATTGCAGGAAAACTCTGTCCACTGCCAGGAGTTCAATCCTATCCAGCTCAAGGTTGACTCAGCCTTCCATCTTTCTGAAGTCGGTAAAATGAGCACCCAGATTGTTGTTGGCAATATGCTGACTTTGTAAACTGCTTAGAGAGGGCTGTAAAGCACTGTGGAGCGGTATATAAGTCTAAGTGCTATTGCTATGTAGGTATATGCATTATTATTATTATTATTATTATTATTATTATTATTATTATTATTATTATTGGTCATATTTATGCAGTGTATATTGGAGGTGGTTACACTTTGAGAGGTGTATGTACGCAACAACATCTCATTTTAATGTATGCTGATTAATATACATTTAAAGTGACAATAAAGTTATTCTATTCCATTCTATTCTATTCTATTCTATTCTATTCTATTCTATTCCATTCCATTCCATTCCATTCCATTCCATTCCATTCTATTCTATTCCATCCTTTCCTTCTTCCCTCCCTCCCTCCCTCTCTCTCTCCCTCCCTCCCTCCTTCTATTGCTCTAAACCAGGGTTGTCCAGCCACGGCAACTTCAAGACCTGTGGACCAACCTGTGGCGTTGAAGTCCACAGATCTTCAAGTTGCCAAGATTATTCTAAACCAAAGCTATGAATTATTTTGAGATTACCCATGTGCTTACAGGTCTTTTTTAAAAAAAAATATCCTTTCCATGTGGCTCATTGTGATAATGATAACTGTTCTGTCCTTTCAGATGCCAACTAAAATCCACCTTTGAGCCTCATCTTGTTGGGAGCCAGATATTATTCACTGTGTAATGAGTTTAGCAATCAGTTCAGTGAACCGATACCATCTTCTTCTCCCTTTTCTTTCCTCTAAAGGACAAAAAGAGTTATTCCTGCCCTGTGTGTGAGAAATCATTTTCTGAAGACCGACTTATAAAAGCTCATATAAAGACAAACCATCCAGGTAAGAGAAGCCACGCTGATGGGGTCGGATGCGGCGTAACCGTGCAGGCAAGGGCGCCAGCTAAAGAACATTCTGCTGTTATATTATGCCTTATTACTATTAGGCTTTCATTGTTACTGCTGTTATTGTCATTATCATCATGAGGAAGATAATTTTAAAAAAGAAATCCTTTGGGGGGATTAAATTGTGTAGTGTCCCGGCACCTATACTATGAATAGTAATTCGCCAGGCTGAAATCAGCGAGGCAAATCTTTCTTCTAGAATTGAAGATGTAGAGCATATGAGTAGTTAACAATGGCTCCTAAGTGCTTCTATAACCTTTCCCTCTCCTATCTGCTATGCTGCTCAAAGGACTTTTGTTTCCAGCAAACAGTTGGATAGATTTTGGAGGTGCTAGCAGGGAGGGAAGGAAATTGTGACTTGTCAACTTCTGTCTGCAGAGGGATAGTGGGTGTGTGAACATACATCAACTCCTGGCTCACTTCTCAAACTGTTTCAGAGAACTTTCTTCTGGAGAGGACTCTCCTCTCCTCTCTCTCAAGTAGCAATGACCTAAGGCAGGGCTTTTCAACCAGTGGTACGGGTACCACCTGTGGTACATTGGCACCTGGCAGGTGGTACGCGACCATCCTAGAAAAGTGGTAGCGGGGGAGGGGAATGAGCAGCACCGCACAAGCCTGAGCGAGAGATGGCTGGAGTTGCAGGGCTGTCAGGGCTCAGCGGAAGCGCCAGGATCAGTGCCGCTTTCCAGCTGATCAGCGCTTCTTTGGGGCTGTCAGGGCTCAGTGGAAATGCCAGAATCAGCGCCAGGCTCCAGCTGGAGCTCGGCGCTGATCCTGGTGCTTCTGCTGAGCCCTGAAGAAGCACCAATCAGCTGGAAATCAGCACTGATCCTGGCGCTTCTGCTGAGCCCAGAAGAAGCGCCGATCAGCTGGAATGTTGCAGCCTCTCCAGGGTCTTGTGATTTACATTCAGATGCTTGGCAACTGATTCATATTTATGACGGTCACAGTGTCCCAGGGTCATGTGAAGTGACCAAAACCTGCTGCAACCACCCAGCAGACGGAGGGAATAAAAACCAAACACCCCCCCCCACCTCACCTCCGCTGCCAATCCTCAACAGAAATGCTCACAACAATGAAAACCTCAGACAGGAGGAAGAGCGCCACTGGGCGGGCAGGCAGGTGTCTTGCTCGGCTGTGGCTTGGGGGGCACTTTTTTCAGTGCCATTGTAACTTCGAACAGTCACTAAGCGAACTGTTGTAAATCGAGGACTACCTGTACTTCATCACTTTTTTCCTTTTTTTTTTTTTTGGTTATCACGTTTTTGACACCTTGCTAGGCGACTGGTGGTCCTCGGATGTAGCCATATCCTGAAAGTGGTACAATGGGTGAAAAGGTTGAAAAGCCCTGCCCTAAGGAATGGTTTGCAGAGTGAGAATAGAGAGACTTTGAATTAGCCTGTCAGATTTTTAAATCAGCCCAAAATCACTAGGGTCCACTCCTCTGCCTGGTTGAAATGATGACAGAGTAGTAGCCAAAATTGTGGAAACCTTTTGGGAAAGGTGTACAGTAGAAATGCCATCTTTGGTTAAGTTTCCACCAATTTTTCTTCTAATTTCTTTATAACTGTAGCCTTGTTCACTTAATACTACTATTTTACATTGCTTTCTGGGCAACCAGTCAACTCTTTGCACCATGACTTTAATTTTATTACATTTTACAAGCTCACTAAATGAAAGAACACAAAAAAACCCAACCAACTTGATAGCGATCACTTAACACACTGACAAATGTCCTCCTCTCAGCTTCAATACATGAGATCAATCACAGAATCCTACTGTGATCTGATTGGCTCATTGCCAAAACAGGATGACACCCAATTGGCTCTCTAAACACTCTTGCTCATTGGCTACAATCAGATGAAGGAAAGCTCCCTGAGATCAACCTAAGCAAGTTGTGCTTCCTTTTTCTGGTTATTTGGCTATAACTTTTCATAGAATAGAATACAGTACAGATAACTGAACAAACTTTGTTGCATTACATTCTTGATTAAATTATCTTTCCATTGATACGTAATTTTATGGTACTACTCCAAAAGGAAAGTGGTATTATTAGCCATCAAACTTCAAAAATACACTTTTCCCAAAAGATTTCCACAATTTTGGCCACTACTATAGAGCTTAGGATGCAAGTCACCCTTGAATTATTTTTGCTTCAAGTAGCTATAACCAAGTCCATATGGCACACAAAGACATACAGTAGTCCTCAACTTATGACCCTTCTTTTAATGACTCTAGGACAGTGGTGGCGAACCTATGACACGGGTGCCAGAGGCGGCACTCAGAGCCCTCTCTGTGGGCACGTGCGCCGTTGCCCCAGCCCTAGGCCTTCAGCTGGGTTTTATAAAACCTTTTCGCTTTAGGCCTCTGCTGCCGTGTACAAAAAAAAAAGGTTCAATCAATCAGTCAATTTCAACTTCTCGCGGGGAGAAAAAAGATCTTGCAAAGTTGGAACTGATTGATTGAACTTTTTAGTCCCACCCAGTCTGCCGTTACCACCACAGCCACACCCAGCCAATGGGCCACACCCACCTAATGGACCACAATTGGCCACACTCAGCCAATGGGCCACACCCACCCGGCACCCGACGATGCATAAATGGGTTTTGGGTTGCAGTTTGGGCACTCGGTCTCTAAAAGGTTCGCCATCACTGCCCTAGGAAGTTACAATGACACTGAAAAAAGTGGCTTAAAGTCTTTGTGGGAATTTGTGTGCCCCGTATGATCTCCCTGAGATGGAAGGTGCAAGTAGCCCTCAACTTACACTTGCAACTATTCATTTAGTATCTGTTTTCGAAGTTACTGAAAAAGGTACTTAAAAAAGTGTTCTATGACCGTTTTTCACACTTAATGATCACCATTGCAGCATCCCCACCGTCACGTGATCAAAATTCAGAGACTTGACAACTGGTTCCTATTTATGACGGTTGCAGTGTCCCGGAGTCACGTGATCACCTTTTATGACAAGCAAAGTCAGTGGGGGAAGCCAAATTCACTTAACAACCGTGTTAATAACAACTGCAGTGATTCGGTCAGCAGCTTTGACAAGAAAGGTCACAAAATGGGACAAAACTCACTCAGCATCTGTCTTACCACCAGCAGAAATGTTGGGTTCAGTTGTGTTCCTAGTCAAGGATTACCTTGACTTGTAACTGGTTGCTTAGCAACAGACCCCAGACAACCTCCTTATGACCTGCATTCAAAGTATTGAATACAGAGCCCTCTTCCCCATCCCCTCCCGCCACGATCACACCTCCACACACTTAACAACCAGCCTGCAATTATGGCTATTTGCAGCATCCCAGGGTCACGTAACTCTGTGTTACAATGGTTTTGCCCAAAATCCTGCATTTGCTTCCAGGTTTTGGCCAAAGCAGCCCTTAGCAAACCATGGGTTCCCTTAACGCCTGTGCAATTTGCTTAAGAACTGCCACAAAACAGTTCATAAAATGTCACGTGGGCAACCCGATTTATGACTGTCATGACTGTTGGAAGTAAAGTCTTCATCCTGGTTCATCGAAGCCGGGAATAAATAAGCAATATGGCGACTGCTTTGGGAAGATGGTTACAGTTTATTGAAGAAGCAGAAAGATGGTTCTTGCAGGAAAGAGCAGAGGAGACAAGGGGCTGAACACATGGGTAGTAGGTTTTTATACCCTCTCTAGCTTTTTGTTTGGAATAGTTTCCTGTTCCTGTGGCATGAACTTTGAACTGAGTCTGAGTGCTTTTCTGGGCCTTGTATCTGTGGTTTAGTCCTATTATGCCCCAAAAGTCATATCCTGCTTCCCTGGGGCTGGGCTAGTGAGGTATGCAGATTTTAGGTCTTTGTCTTCTGGCTCCAGCTTTCCTGATAGTTTTACATCTGCATTTGTATAGGGCTGGCTCCTGCTGGAGACAAAGAGATTTGGGGGCAGAGAGATTTGGTTTCTGCTTTTAAAAATCCTTTTGAGCAGCGGTTCTCAACCTATGGGTCGCGACCCCATTTGGGGTCGATCGACCATTTCACGGGGGTCGCCAAGCAAGGCTGTCCGCCATTTTTTTCCCCGTTTTCCGGCGGGTGCCTTACCTCCCTTGAGCTGGGCCAGCTGGTGGTCGGCCTGCTCTTTCTCTGCCGCTTGCCAGCTACGCCTCGGCTGGCACAGGGGGCGGAACTACACATGCGCGGCGCTCCCGGGCAGGGAAAGTCCTCGACTTACGACCGGTTTAGTCCTCGACTTACGACCGGTTGGGGGTCGCGGCATTAAAAAGGTTGAGAACCACTGCTTTTGAGGAAAAATATATTTTTCTGCTCTTTTAATATTTCCTTCTCTGGGGCTAACTTCCCTCAGGGCCAAGCTCCATTATAGTTGTAACTCAAGGACTACCTCTCTACGCACCCTTTTAAAAATACAGCCACTTGCTTAACGTTTGGTTATTCTTCCTCACTGAGTCTGAATAATGCATCCTTCTTTTCTGGCAATTATACCATCCCATCTGGGTTTTTAGGCCTTTGGCAGTTGTTAAACAAGCTGTTTGTTTGGAATTCCCAACCCTTCCGGAAATCCTGGGTGAAGCCTTGAACAAATGTTAGCAGCTCTCGGAGACTATTAAAGCTCATAAATATTTGGTTAGTGAAGCTGCCCTGCTTAGGTGTTTACTGTTTGAGAAGGCTTCCTGCGAGAAAACACACACAGACAAAAAAAGCAGTTTCTGCACCAACAGCCCAATCAGTCTCTAATTTGTCACTCAAAGAGCAAGCCCTAGAGAAAACAGCCTAATACACAATGTTGGGAAAACCATCAATTAATGAGGCTCTTTCTTTCACGTTGAAATTTTAGCTGGGGAAAAGTAAACCTACGAAAGGGAGTACTCCTTAAAAGATTCAACAACCAGCCGTCATAACAATCTATATTTTATTGGTTTTTGAAATGTCTTCCCTGAAGGCTAGAACTTACCTTTTTCCTTTCCTTTCCTTTCCTCTCCTGCTTCTTCCATCCTTCCCCAACCCCACCCCACCTCCC